CGTACGTAGAGAGAGAGAGAGAGAGAGAGAGAGAGGGGGCATGACCTCCTCTGCATGAGATGAAAGGGTTCAGCTTCTAATGGAGAGAAACATTGTGATGATGCCTCTTGTAGACTTTGAAGATTGAGAGACTTGTTTTTTTGTAGCGAGGCGGTTCACATTGAGATTTTCGATTGTTTTCCTTTTTAGTTAGAAAAACGGTTAGTTTTTCATTGCTCTCATGTCTCCATCTGGTATTATAAGTAATGGTTGCTATCCCAAAAAAGACTAAAAAATCTTTGAGTCTTTTTTAAAAAAGACTCAAAACATTTAAAACATTTTGATAAAACTTTCATTATAATAGTGGATTTCAGTTTGTGCCCTTGGATTTTGCCATTATGGGTGAAAAGCGTAAATCTTTGTGCTCTTATAGAATGTGTTTCATGATTTATTTCTCGTACTTTGTTTTCTAAAAGTCAACCCATCGGATTTAGAGCTTCTGCGCATAACAAAAGCCCCATATCTTACGTGTGGGATGATGCTCCATTTGTTATGACTTGGCATGGCAATTGAAATATTACGGTGTTATATTTTGATCAGTTTTTCTCTTTATCTGAATTTCAGTTTTAGTTTGCCAATTGCAATCTTCAATAATCCAAAAGGTCCGTCCATGAAAGTGCCTTACCATCATGCATTTGTAACGAAAAGATTTTGGCCATAGAGTGAAACTACATCACTTTTGAGTTTTGGGGAGAGAATCTCAGGTAGGAGACCTTTCCTTTAAACTCTATCCATGGTTAGGACATTTTCTCTACATCTATTCCATACCCGAAATCTTGTTAAATCCCTTTGGTTAACCCATACGTTATAAACCAAACCTAACACTTCTTATTAATTCTGTACAACATACCAACCCCCATCCCAAGCCCAACAAGATCAAACTTAGACCTTTAAAGGAACTTCACACAAAAATATCTTAACCCACACTCCTAGGCTCCCACACAATAGGAATAGGGTTTGAGTGTTGGTATTTATCGTAAATTCTTGAATCCCTAAGGCTCCCACACAATGAAAATAGCGTTTGAGTGTTGATATTTATCTTAAATTTTTGAATCCCTTGGGTTCCCACACAATGGGAATAGGGTTCGAGTGTTGGTATTTTATCTTAAATTCTTGAATCCCTAAGGCTCCAACACAATAGGAATAAGGTTCGAGTGTCGGCAGGGTTCGAGTGTTGGTATTTTATCTTAAATTCTTGAATACCTAAGGCTCTAACACAGGGTTCGAGTGTTATTATTTATCTTAAAGGATTGGTTTCTTTTAATTTAATCCTTTAAACGGAGGTCTTTTCTTCCTCGTGCAAAATGACCGTGATAGACGCCCTTTTATTTTTTTTTGCTGCCAAATACCAAATAATCCAAGCTATCCAAAAATATCGATCAAGGCACTTCTATGGAAAAATGGATGAGCCCCAAAATAAAAAATTGGCCAAAGGTCCACTAAATATTTGCGTTTTCATACAAAATTCATACCATGTGGATCGGTAGAGGCCCCATTTTTTGGGATCTAAAATGTCCTTTCAAATATTGTCCATGTCCAAATTGGTTTTTTTTCTTTTCACAATTTTATTATTATTATTATTTCTAGATAACTTTTCTGCAAAACGAAGATAGAAGGAAGATGGCAAAGAAATATATAAATTAAAAAATAAAAATAAAAGGATGAGAGATTATTCCTTGTTTCGAACCTGTAAGGGATTCCAGCCCAAAAAATTCCAAAATAAACTCTTTTCTCTTTACTATTTCTTCTTATTTAATAGCTACATATTCATAGAAAAAAAAAAAACCTACGAAACCCCATTCAATTCCTAACTCTTCATCTTTTTAAGCAATGAACTTTCAATTCTACCCCTCAAATCTCTATGACTAAAAAACGAAAATAAAGAAAAGTAGAAATCTTGAAGAATATCAAACCCTAATTTTTCATCTCCTAAAAAAAATCTAATCATTCTCCGGGGGTTGAAAGAAGCTTGAATTCGAGTTTGTTGTGCACATCACCTCTTCCATAGGCCTTTCCGATTGTTTGTGATGAAATCCCATCACATGCCTGAGCACTTTGTTTTCTTCAAAAATATTTGATCAAACACTCTATGGACAACTTATAGTGGAACTTTAGGATGTAAACTTTAACTTATTTTCTGATTTCTTTGTGTAAATCGGGAAGATCGACCTTGATACGAAGATCATGTGGATGTTCCTCAGATTGTGGTTCATGCATCACAATTTGCTCATTATATTTGGGTTTGGCACCCCGAGTCGATCCCGGGACTTGATTCGTCTTCATGGTAGAAATTGGTGTCAGATCTTCACGGTTGTGAGCACCTTCTTCACGAAGAATGATTTCCTCCAATCTTCCCAACCTCTTATTTATTACAATTTTCAGATACAATGGTTTTCTTTATATATTTCATAATGTGTGGTATTAACTCATCGACCGCATGAGCAAATTTTGGTGACATTGTGACGGTTGGATCATCTTTGATCAGATACCAATTTGATGCTTAGAAGACGGAAAATAAATAAATAAATTACAAACTAAAGATAAAAATAGAGAAATGAGAGAGATTATAGGCTCTCATGGATTGTAAGGGAATCCACTCCAAAAAGATCTCTTTACAAGATCTAAACTAAGCTATTTGCTATTTACTTTTTTTTTAATTTAATAGTTATTTATATATAAAAAAATCCCTAAGACGTAACTTGTCTCCTAATGAACCCTTACACCTATTAAAAAATAAAATTTCAATTCTACCCCTCAAATCTCTACAAACAAAAAAGATAAAAATAACCTTAAAGAAAACTAGAAATCTAAAATAATCACAACGCTCATTTTTTTTTCCTAAGAAATAATAGAATATAAAATAGAAACTAATTGCGTTAGTGTGATGCCCCAAATATGGTGTAAATATGATTTATAGAAAAAATTTAAAATAAATGGTATTGGGAGTGTGGCATTGTGA